CGTTTTTGGCTTGAGGCTGTTCTTTGTTCTACCTACCTCATTAACCGTATGCCCTCTCGTTGGTTAGAATACAAAGCCCCACATCAGCTTCTCTTTCCTAAAGCCCCCCTTCTTCCCATTCCTCCTCGTGTATTTGGTTGTCGGTGCTTTGTCCAAAATCTGTCTCCCACCCGTGGGAAATTGGATTCTCGTGCTATTCCTTGCATATTCCTTGGTTACTCTTCACTCAAAAGGGATACCGTTGTTTTGATCCTGTTTCTCAAAAATTCTATGTCTTCATGGATGTTTCTTTCTTTGAGGATGAGCCTTTTTTTCCTGTTTCTCCTCAGGGGTAGTGTAGGCATGAGGAGAAACTGGTTCAACTCCCTTCTCTTCCTGATCCTCTGCCTTTTTGTGTCTTCTTTCGTCGTCGCAAAGGCCAACCAAATTCAAGAGCTGTGGAGAATCTAGAAGTTGTACCTCCAGTGCCACCAAACTCCTCGGGGGAGGATCATACCCACTCAGGTAACTTGGCGCCCAATGATGTTCATGATTCTATTGAAATTGATACCTCTGCTGCAAATGACCTTGACCTTCCTATTGCTCACAGGAAAGGTGTTAGATTGTGCACCACTAAACATCCCATTTCCAACTTTGTTTCCTATGAGAACATTTCACCCTCATTTCGTGCTTTCCTTACCTCTATTGACAGTGTCCCTATCCCCAAGAATGTGGCAAAAGCTCTTTCAGTACCTGAATGGACAAATGCCATGAAGGAAGAAATTAATGCCCTTCATAAAAATGGCACATGGGAACTCAAGTGTACGGAGTTGATTATGCAGAAACGTTTGCCCTTGTTGCCAAGATGAACTCCATTAGAGTTTTTTTCTCTCTTGCTGCTAATCTGAATTGGGATCTACATCAACTTGACATCAAGAATGCATTCTTGAATGGTGACCTTGAAGAGGAAGTTTACATGATTCAACACCCTGGTTTTCTGGCTCAAGGCAATGAACAGAAAGTGTGCAAGTTGAAGAAGTCTTTATACGGGCTGAAACAATCACCAAGAGCTTGGTTCAGCAGATTCCATGTTGCGGTTCAGCAGAGAGGATACAAGCAATGTCAATCAGATCACACACTGTTTGTGAAAAGAGGATAAGGTAAAATGGCTGCCTTGATAGTATACGTTGATGACATAATTGTTACTAGTGACTAGAAGGATGAAATCCAGAGGTTGAAGGGTTTCCTTGCTACTCAGTTTGAAGTGAAGGATCTAGGACCTCCCAGATACTTCCTTGGAATTGAAATTGCCAGATCAAAAAGGGGTATCTTCATTTTCCAAAGGAAATATGTCCTAGATTTACTTCAGGACACTGGAAAGATGGGAGTGAAGCCAGTTGATTCTCCCATTGACCCCAACCATAAATTAGGTGACTGCCAAGGTGAACCTCTCAAGGATGTGAAACAGTTTCAGAGGCTTGTAGGGAGATTGTTATATCTTTCTATGACTCATCCAGACATTGCTTATGCTGTTGGTGTCCTCAGCCAATTCATGCATGCACCTAGGTCCACTCACCTTGAAGCAGTAGAAAGAATCCTCCGATATCTAAAAAAGTTTCATAGTGCAGGCTTGTTATTTCAAAGGCACGGGCATTTGAAAGTTGAAGTCTATACAAATGCAGATTGGGCTGGATCTCAAAGTGACAGAAATTCTACTAGTGGCTACTGCACCTTTATAGAAGGGAACCTTGTTACATGAAGGAGTAAAAAGCAAAATGTGGTGGCTAGATCCAGTGTTGAAGCTAAATATCGTGCAATGGCTCACGGAGTAGATGAAGGTATGTGGATAAAGAATCTATTGTTGAGTTGGGTTTCCCAGTGGACAAACCTATGACTCTATTCTGTTATAACAAAGCAGCTATAAACATTGCTGCTAACCCAGTGCTACATGATAGAACAAAACACATCGAAGTTGACAAGCATTTTATCAGAGAGAAGGTCATCATAGGCGAAGTATGTACTCCCTATGTCACCTTTGAGAACCAACTTGCAGACATCTTTACAAAAGGGCTACACCATTCCAGACATCATAATCTCTGTGACAAGTTGGGCATGATTGATATCTATGCTCCAACTTGAGGGGGAGTGTTGACAGATGTTGTTGTACACATGTTTAGTACCACAAGGGTACTTTTGTAATTTCTTCATACTTTATGTTGTACGACCAGCCTAGTATAAATAATAACATACTGCACACGCCTGCAGTGTGCTTTTGGGCTCTCAGTCCTCTCGCCTCTCCTCTCTTTCTCTCCTCTCTTTTCTCTTCTCTTCTCTTGCTCAACAGTATGTATTAGCACAAATAAATATGTATGTATATCAACAATTTTAAGCTTGAAAGCAAAGATTTTCTAGTTCTTAAGGCACCATAACTTTGTCCTTGTACATAAAATAATGTTAAAATCAGTGATTCTGCTATTTATCAAAAAAATCAGTGATTTTGCTAACCCAACCCGAAAAGTCATGTTGGGCTATGCTTATGCTTGGGGGTTCAACAACCTAGGTTGGGATAGGGTTGGCCTTGGCCTAACCTATCCCAGCCTGATTTGCACCCCAACCCCAACGAATTCATGTATTTCCATGCCTAAATGAAATGATTCAATAAACAAAAGCTCCACATGCCCCTTATATATCAACCCCAATAAATTTATGTATTTCCATGCCTAAATGAAATGGTTTATTGGGTGTTGGCATGTACATAGTTATTATATATGCTAGCAAATGAATGTTGCGAATATCAGAAAGGGAATTACATAATTATAATAAATGGAACTCGTAAAAATTGCAACTTAATTTAAGAAGAGAGAGTAACCAAATGATTTTCCTTTGGATCATTTCTGCATGTAACTCACATAGCAGTCCCAAAATAAACTATTTGAGTGTAGATTGGACAGAACAAAAGAAATGGACTCCAGTGTCATTAACTGCATCTAAGTTATATGGTTTAAGTTTAAATTAACTGTTGACTGATAAACTTAGGTAGTAAAATTACCGTTGTAGATTCCTTGCCAGTCACCCTTTCAGCCTTCCTGTGAAAAGAGGTTGGCCTATCCAGCAGATGATGGGTCCATTCTTGCTTTGCAGAGGCATCAGTATCATCCAAATGATCATTCCTGCCATTCAGTCCCTGCTCTGGCCAGTGCAGATTTGAACTCCTTTCCCTATATTTGTCAAACTCTGAAGTGCTTCTTTCCACTACTGGACCAGAATAATTGGCAAATTCAGCAACACTTTGAGGCATGTGAGATCTTTGAGTCCTCAATTCTGGGCCATTATGTGACAAACCAAATGTTTGGATTCCTAGAGCCTCATCCTCCCTCACCTTCTTGTTCAATGATGAACCAAATGCATTGTGGTGAATCATTGAGCTGGAATGGGAAAAACGACTCTGCGAAATTCCTCCAGGAAGCTCCATTGGTAAGCCAGACCCACCATCCTCTTGGGGATTGTATTTCTCATTAGTGCTTTTAGAGTTTGTTTGTCCTTTCCGCTTCTATGTAAAACATAAAAGTGAGGAGAATGGTCAAAAATATGAAACAACTAGCTACAATAGGATGGATCTTAAGAGTGACAGAAATACCTGTACCGCAACCTGCAGCTCTGCATTTGCATCTGGTGCTGGCACCGCCTTGGACTGTCTTGAAACCCTTCTTCCCAATTCAGATTCATGCAATTTTGATGCTGCTGCTCTTTTCCTGGTTTAAACAGGAAAAATGCATCAAAAGTTAAGCCTAAAAAGGCAGAAAATGTTGGAAAAATGGTATCATATGGCTAAGTTATCCACAAACTATATTCAAACAAGGAGATGTATCAAAAATTCTAAAAGTTGAGGACTTATAGCACCATGTAGTCCCATAGCTCTGGGGATTCTACAAGGGCAGTGCTGATGGAAAATCCAACAAGGCATGAAGCTTGCAGAACTCCTAAAGTTCAGAAATCTGATAGTAGAAGGAGAACCCCAATTTCACATAACTGCTTGGATCCTAGAATTACATACATGTAGTTAGAGAAATGAGAGAGAGAGAGAGATAGGGAGTTGGAAAAAACTATAACTAGACATTGGGATCATTCAATAGTGTGACTGATGCTTTCACATGGCAGGGAGCAGACAGAGATCAGTTGTCACATGGCAGGGAGCACCCTTAACTTGAATCTAGAAAAAGGAGTCATAAACTGGATGCCTTGTCACTCAAGAAGAAAAAAAAAAAACACAAATTCTAGCAGGGTCATCCCCTAAAGAATGCTGTGTCTTCAATGTCTTCTCCTGCAGTGTAAACCTTCTCTATCTGTCTTTTCTTTCCTCAATTCCAGATTCATATTATTCTTTTTGCTGTTTCTATCTATTGGCCTCATTTATGTAACAAGTGTTAGAACTTAGAGCTTCCTATAATTGATTTTATAAATCACTTCCACCTGTGAGCAAGGCTTATGGGACTCTTTGTTTATTGGCTACAACAGCATTTCATTTGGAACTTTATCATCCTGCAAATATTGCACTAATAATATCAACTAGTACTCTTTCACTTTCAGGCATGGAGAACTTAAACGGTCACGTGGGGTTCAAAGTTTGGGTGGGCCGGATTTGAAACAGACTGTCCCACGTGATAACTTAAATGATCACGTGGGGTGGGTCCCCAAAGGAGTGATTGCAGATGGAAATTCCCATCTATCATCTTCTAAAACTAGCCATCTCGATGGTTCAGGGTTGCAATGACAAAATTCAGTAAGAGAAAGCCAAGGAAGCTCGCTACAATCAAGGTTTAAAATGTCGATGTCGATGGAAATGTCACTTTACCAAAATATAGGAAATATGTCGGAAATGCCGAGGGGAAATATTGTAAAAATTAGAGACATTGTGRAAATATTAWGAAATATGTGRAAATATRMAATGATATTTTGTAAAATCATAAAAGAAGCATTAATACATATTTCTAGACTATTATCTTATTCCCAACCATTATATAAAGCTAAGAAACTAAGATCAATAACAAATCAGTAAATGACGATTTACTGATTTATTGATGTTTTTACAAGGTTATCTGATATTTTCTTTTCTTATTTTTAATTCTGATTTATTATAAATTCTAATATATTTACTTCACACTAGTAAATAGAAATACATTTATTCTGATTTTTAAAATATTAAAGTTATAATACATTATGTTTTATTATAAATTTAATAAACTGATTCTCCTTTTTGTAGTTTAAGATTATGATTAATCCTAATTTCTTATAAAACTTAATGAATTTATTATGATTTCTAATATATTTACTTCACACTAGTAAACAGAAATACATTTATTCTGATTTTTAAAATATTAAAGTTATAATACATTATGTTTTATTATAAATTTAATAAACTGATTCTCCTTTTTGTAGTTTAAGATTATGATTAATCCTAATTTCTTATAAAACTTAATGAATTTATTATGATTTTTAATACTAAATTTATAATAAATTATGATTTAGTATAAAATTTAATAAATTTATTCTGATTTTTTATATTAAATGTAGAATATGATTTATTATAAAATTTAATAAACATTTTCTGATTTTAATAAATATTTTAAAAATACTAACTAGTTAATATTTTATTACTTGAAAAATATTTTATGTTTTATATTATAAAGTAATTAATTTATTCTTTTGTTTTTATATTTTGTTATTTTTTTATTAATATTTTATTTGAAATATTAAATAGAAATTATTAATGGAATAATTTATATTAATATACTGTACTATATTAATATAATATACTAATATATTATATTGTTAATGTACATTAGTTGACATCTTGTCGACATAATAGGAAAAACTGTTTTTTTTGGTTATTGGGACCGATTTGGTCGACATTTCCAAAATATAGGAAATGTCAATCAAAATAATGTAATTTTTATATTACCAACCATTTTCATGTCGATGAACCTCGACATCGACATATGTCGGGCGACATTAGCGACATTTTGCACATTTGGAATCATGGCTACAATGGGTCACTCGAAGAGATTTCAGGGAGAAAGATGAGAATCAACCGTCTCCAGACCGTCCAAACCCATGGTATGTGAGGGGTCGATTGGAGGATAGAGAGGAAGAAGATGAAGGATGGGTTGACTATACAATGAAGGAAGAGAGCAATGGGGAAAGCTCAGATGAAGCTTCTAGCATCGAAAGTGATGATGATGCAAGCTCCATTATGGGGGAAAATGAAGCTACCTTAGACCTGGAGGTTCTATTTCAAAATGATGAGAAGGAAAAAACATTTAGTCAGGCCGACACGGGAAAATAGAGAAAATAAGACCACAAGAGATGTGTTTCACTAGTGTAAGAGAGGAAAGCTAGCACCCAAGAACAAACAAAGTCCAACCAAGTACCCACTCAATGCCTTACATTGACAAGGAGGTAAATCAGTCTCCTCAGAAGCAAACTGGGAACACACCAGAAAGGGTTAAACAGTCAGGTCTGGAAAGAAATCCTAATGTTGCAAATGTGACAGAATTGATTTCCCACTAACCCAAGGAACCAGATTTCATTTCGAAACAGAGAAAGTCAAATCAAGTGTTCTCTCCTTCCTCTTCTCCTACCCATGTAACCTTGTCATTTCCGGTTTTGTTACTGATGAGTGTTCAATGTCTTTTGTCCCAGATTTCCTACCCATCTAGGAGTCGAAGGCCCATGACATTGCAACCACTATAATTGCTTGTGCTCAGAACATACAGGGGGAGGTAGGGAGGAAGGAAGTAGACGGGGAAAGGGAAAGAAATAAAATAGTTTGGGAAAATCATTGAAAAGATAATGGGAGAGGTTGGAAGAATACAACTACAAGGAGAGGGTGCACTAAAGGTGCTAAAGGGGAATGAGGAGGAGATAAAAGGAAAAAAAGAAGGGGAGAGAGTAGGGGGAGAGAAAGATAACCCCAAAGCAGATGACTCGGTAGCAGAATTTGTGGGGAAGCTGGGATGCAAGTTAAAGAATCCAAATGATCTAAAAGCCTTCCTACAAAAAAGGAAGGAGAAAAATAAGACAAAGAAAAGGAAGCTAAATGAAGTTGAGAGATTGAAGAGAGATGTAGAGGGAGATAGGAGTTTCCTTATGAAAGGGGAAAGGAGAAAAGGGGCTAAGTGGATACAAAGTAATAGGAAGGGGACAGAGAGAGAGATTAAAATGAAATTGTTGAGCTGGAATGTTAGGGGTATAGGCAATGCAAGAAGAAGAGCAGTAATTAAAGAAGTGATAAGAAAGGTTAATCCAGATGTTGTTCTAATTCAGGAGTCCAAATGGATGGGATTTGACAGAAGATGGGCAAGAAGTGTTTAGAGATCTAGAAGGATAAAGTGGGCAGCTATTCCTTCTTGGGGAGCTTCTGGAAGAATAGTGACATTGTGGAAAGAAGATATTCTGGAGGGGATTGAGGAGTTGATGGGTTTCAGTCTCATTGAAATTTAGGCAGGTGGAAGGGGGTTTTGAATGGGTGTTAACCAATGTTTATGGTCCTAATGATTATAGGGAGAGAAAGAAAATGTGGGAAGAGCTAAAGACATTAGAAGATTATGGAATGGACCATGGTGTGTTGGAGGAGATTTTAAAACTATAAGGTTTTCACATGAGACTAACAACCCTAGGCAAAGGGTTACCACAAGTATGAGGAATTTCAACCAATTTATGGAAACCTTTGAGCTTAAAGAGATTCCTCTTTGGCACAACAATTTTACTTGGTCCAATCTCTAATCGAACCCAATCTGCTCTAAGTTGGATGAATTCCAGTTCTCAACTGATTGGGAAGAACTATGGGGGAACATCAACTCTAGAACACTCCCCAGAATTACCTTTGACCATTGGCCCATTATGATCTGCAAGGAAAATCTAAGGACTGATGGGCTTGCCCCCTTTAGATTCGAGAACATGTGGCTACCCCATCCAGCTTTTGTCAAGAAGGTCAAAGAATGTAGGGAGCAATGCAACCCATCAATGGAATAGGAAGGAATGATACTTCACAAAAAAACTCTAATATCTAAAGCTTAGGATAAAAGAATGGAATCTGTTGGAGTTTGGCAGGTTGGGAGAGAGAAAACAAGCTCTAATTGAGAAGATTGAGGAATTGGATCGTAAAGAAGAGATGGGATTTTTTGGGGAGGGGGACAAGGAGCAAAGATGGCTATTAAGGAAACAACTGGAGGATCACTTGCTAAAGGAAGAAATTAGCTAGAAACAAAAGTCTCGATGCAAATGGTTAAAGGAGGGGGATGGTAATACTAAATTCTTCCACACTGTGGCTAATGGAAAAAGGAGAAAGAATTTTATATCCAAATTAGAAGTTGAGGGATCAACCATCTCACATCTAACAGAGATAGTAAGGGCCTTTGTACACCACTTCAAATCTATTTTTAAAAGGCCTCTAAATGAAAGGGTGTGGTTAAAGGGTTTGAAGTGGCCAGATTTGGGGTCAGAGTGCAGGGAGTGGCTAGAAAGGAAGTTTGAAATTGAAGAGATAAAGGAATAGTGATTTCAATGGAGTAGGAAGGGAGGAGGTTCCACTCACGCAATTGCAATTTGCAGATGACACAATCCTCTTTTGTGAAGGAGGGAATATAACCCAGATTCGAAGTTTGAAATGGTTATACAACTTTTTGAGCAAATGTCTAATCTTAAGGTGAACTTTGAGAAAAGTTGTATTGTGGGAGTAAACATGGAGAAAAGG